TTAAGTATGCCATTAAACAAGCTTTTGGAAATTACCAATTTGCAGTACAGCTATAAGCCATATACACTTCTATAACTGAACCAAAAATCAAAATAATTAACTATGTGATATTTTGTTCTAAAAGTAAAAGAAAACTACACTTAGAGAAGCAGAATATATGGTAAATACACATAATGTTAACATAATGAGAAGTAATGCAAAAAACCCTACAAATCCTGACTATTTACACAATACTAACTTCTCTCTAGCATTGAAGCTCAGAGATTTAAAAGACTACTTCAAAACATTAGAATGCACATATTTCTCTCTCTTGAAATCTCTTACATATTTGGACATATTTTATAAGCTGATGAAACATTTAGTACCTTCTTTACAATAATAACAACAAAATACAGTATTTTAAAAGTTTCATACAAACTAAGAACTCTTGCAACATCAAAAACTTGATGCATTACTCACAAATACGAGACTGGTAAAATTAAACAAGTATGTTCAGAACTATTATTTTAGGCAGTGTTGCCTTATATAGTCATTAAGGCCAGCAAGCAGATGATACAGAGCAAGAGGAATTGTTGCCAGTTATTTTAGACTGGAAAATATGAGAACAAAATCTAATGCTAGCTGCCAACTAATTCCTCTTCTCTTCTAACAAAAATATTAAAGAAAAGCCTTCCTTGGCTGCAGCCACTTGCTCTCTAGTAAGAGGACAGAATTTGGTTATTGCTATAATAAGCATTATTTTACATTTTTCTACAGAAGTTAGAAAATAAACACCACAAAAACACACTGCAGTGGGGAGAGAAATCTGCTTGGAAAAAACTAAACATCCATGTATAACTGTCAAAATTATGGAATAACTTGATTCAAAGATACATTTTTTGAACAATCCGCCCTTAAGTTTGCTCAGACCTTGACCACTAGCTTAGTGTTTAAATGAAACGAGGGTGAAAAATACTTTAATATTTTTGTAAGTGAATACTATTGGGGAGGGGTTGACTTTTTAATTTTCATGCTCCAGTCTACTTCCCATACTTTTTTGTCTCACTAAGTCAACCAGACCCCTGGCATGGGGGTAGGAGTAAAGACAAAATTACTCTGGACAAAGTCTTTTTCCCGAAGTGATGTGTTCAGAAAGCTACTGACCACAAATGAGAGGTGTTTCATTTGATGTATTTTCAGTTTACTATCTCAGGTCCAAGTTGTCTGAGTTAAGCACTTAGCAAATGCACGGCACTTAGCATGGATCAGGGACAGAAAGGACTGGGCACAGGTACCAGAGCTAAAAGCTGACTGGAGAGTACCAGAAATGAAAGGTTCAGACAAATGCTACCAGAGCACAATGCTGGGAGTGGGAAACAGAGCAAGTGTCAGGAACTGCTTACAAGCATGCCTGCTGCTGATCTCTCCCTCCCTATCCCCTGCCAGCTTTCTCAACTCTCCCCTAGAAAGCAACAAAGAAGCAGTAGCCGCAGGAGGTACCCCAGGAAAGCAGCCCAGACATACTGCATCAGGTCATGGCTCAAGCACTGAGTGTGTCAGAATGTCTTCTGCAGAAGGACTGTACACTGGTTTCTTTCTCAGTGAATACAAAACAGAACGGAGAGAGACAACACGAACCACATCTACAACACGAAGAAAGGTCATTCCTGTTGAAAAAAAAAAATCTAAAGCCTGTGTCCACACAGCTAAACTCTTCTCCCTGCTCCTCTAAAATAGAGTGTTTGCATTTAACTTGTTTATTGGATTGTCCCTGTAATGAGCTGGGCACTGTACTGAGTCTGGAATTCATTTGGGAGAGCACTAAATAGCAAAATAATATCAAAGAGTATGCTAACAATTACACAGCGCAGACTACCATAAGGCAGTGTTCAATCCTTGTCATGGCCTTGCTTAGTTGTTAGTATAAACATGAACATTAACAGATGCCCTACACTCATACTGCTCAGCCAGAGGGTAAAAATGAGACAAAACTTAAGCAGACATCTCCTAATGTTTAGACTCGCTTCAAAGAAATGTGTGGAAATCCAAATTTGGTTCATCCGAATGTACTTCCCCAGCCCTTTCCAAATAAGAGCAATGATGTTTTATCAGTTTTGCATGAACTATTTCACTTTTACAAAAAAACTCACTAAATTATCCACAAAACATTTCTAAATTCTTGCACGTTTTACTAAGATTTAAGTCTACATTCCCTCTACCCAAGCACACGTGGTTTCTCTAGACAGATGAAACAAGCCACATAAATGACGCAAGTGACACCATAAGTTTTTCCTAGGCCATAGATAAACACCCATACAAACCTATCTTTTCAACCCGTTAGCAAAAATTTATCATAGGACACTTGTTCAAAAGAATTGTGTTACAAGAATGCGATTTCATTGAAGAAAATAACAACATACCTTCTAAAGCTGTTGAAGTAAAGAATTCAGTCCCACCCCCCCAAACATTGAAAACTAGATCAACTTTTTAGAGTTGCAGGCTGCTGAGGAAACCAAGATGATCAATCTGGATGGAAACAATTAATTTCTTTAAAGAAGTCTGCATAGCATAAGACTTTCCAGGATGTTCACATTTTCTGTTAAGCTCTCTTACTGATACTTACTAAAAGCAGTATCAAACTTCCAATCGCTGAAACTACCTTACACACACATATACAACATCAAAGAATTTTCTGCCAGCAAGTGTGAAACGTGTATTATGTTCCTCTTTATATTTTTCTAAAATAAGATTGTTGCATGGACTTTGCGACATCTATGAACATTTCTTGATGCATCTGTAGATGAAAAAAGAAATTTCCTGGAAGTAGTAAAACCTAGACTAGAATTACTGTCATAGTTTGTAAGATTTAATTCAACTAAAACTGCAGAGTATGTGTTACTCATTTTCAGACACTGAAAATTACATTTACTATCCATCCTCTGTTCTTCTACCAATGCTGCACCAAGTTACCAACAGACATACTGGTGCTTGTCAACCAATCTGACAAGTGAGATTCAGACTACAGCTTTTGAAGTGAAACAATCACTCCAAGCTGCAACAATCCACTATCTATAGTGCCTGATCATAGCGCAAACTTCAATGACATACATCTATCATTTTAATGTAGAGTAAAGTGTTGAACTGAAATTGTATGACTATACCACCCAGGTTCCCAGCTTTCAAAAACTGTATTAGTTTCAAATTTCGCACTTACTGTATTTTAAAAAGATCATACTTAAGTTCAGCATGAAAAGGCAAGACAGCCATGTAACACACAGCTTTTCATGAAAAGTAACTATCAGGTAATTTGTGATAGGCCAGAATTCAGAAAAGTTTGTGGCCTCAGAAAACTTTCCTTAACTCACTTTCTTCGAATTACTCAGATGCAGAAGTTTTCTTCCTCTTCAGTGAGCTAAGAATCATTTTCTTTAATCTCTTAATTTAAGAGAATTTAAATATGTCTGGAATGACTACATTATTGAATCCTGCAAGAATGCACATCATTTTGGTGCCAGACTCCATGGTACAAATTGATATTGGTTGAGCCAAAAAATCCCCAGCCACTTTGATTGTTGTCTGGGTAGTAAAAAACAGGGAGTCCTAGGAAAGATTTCTAAAGTATATCACAATTTCATTTAGAGAAAGAAATCAGTTACAAAAAAGGTGGTAAAACACAGTAGAATCCTATACAAATGCTATAATACCTTGAAAGTAATTTCAGTTTGTACATAATTACATTATTTAAAATTAAAACCTTTTTTAATTACTAAGAAGTATTTTGATTCTTATTAAGTCATGGTCAACCGTTCTAGGTAATTCCAGTTAGAATGCCCAGGATCTCACCTTCTACAAGACTCACGAGGTTGGATACAACCTCAAGAGCCTGTCTGTGTGAATGGTTCTGGAAGAGCTATACTTACGTCAACCCTAATGGATGCAGGTCCAATCTGTTCTTGTCTCCAGGCAGCCTATTGCAGCGCTTCACTACCACTACCATTCAGGCCTTCCCTCATCCCCCTTGTCCAGCCTGAAACTTCCTTGCTGCGATTATTTGTTGTCCTATCCGCCATGGATATGCAGAATAGATTGCGTGTTTCTTTTCTGTTTTTGAAGAACATGTTCTTCATGTTTTTGAAGAACATGTTCTCCTCCGTCTTCTCTAAACTAAACAATTCCCATTCTTTTGGTCTGTCCTCAAGGGTCAAGTTTATTCTCATCTCCCTACTTTGGACACCTCCAACTGATCAGTATCTTTGTTGAAGTTCTGTGCCTAAAACCGAAAGCATCTTGTGGGTTATTCTCTTGTTTACACATGACAGTCTAGCTATATCATTTGCACACCAGCAAGACCTTGTTGGCTTACCTTTGTTTCGCTGTTATTCCTGCCCAAATGTGCAGTTTGGCCTAGCACATATTCCAATTGAATTACATGACACCCTCTCCCCCTCCAACTTTTGCTACTGTCATGATCATTCTGAATTCCAATTCCATCTCACTCTCTGCTTCATCCATTCTCATATTTAGGTCATTGGTAAATGTATAGAAATTGCCCACCAGATATCTAGGATAAAAACTTCAATCATCGTAGTGGGTAATCTCAATACACCCATTCTGATTTTAATTTGTGGTAACACCAGCATGGTTTTCAAAACAACCTTGCACACATCTTGTGGAATTTTAACTTAGACCATGCTCACCTGCAGACTGTCAAGAGAAACAGCAACAAAAGCTTTTTTACAAACAACCTAGATGGTATCTATTGATCTTCTCTTATCCAGAAGACTTGTAAGAAAAATTTGACAGCTTTGACAAAACACACTTCATAATTCCAAGGTAATTATTATTCATCTTGGTTTCTTCTAGTATTCATAAAATTTGCCCAATATTTTTCTGGGAAAGTTCAACCAAATGGTAGCAATTTCCCAAATTCTTTCCTTTTGCTGCTTAATTCTTGCTCCATCTTTTCTGACTACTGTCATCAGCACTCTAAAAAGAGTAGAAACAGAGATAAAAGTACTTACAGGTTTCCTAAGGAAAAAAAGGGATAGTGCTCCAATTAGGGGCATGTCTCCAATTAGTGGTTCCAGGATAACCCTCATAGTGCCATGGATCTGTGGAAGGGGAGGGAAGGCAATGGAATTGACTTTAGTTCAAGTTTTAAATAAAATTTATTCACTGGCAATGCTCACACTTCTAATTCATTAAATTCTTGGTTATGGAAGAATTTTATATATATAGCTTTACATGTCATCCAAATCCAAAAAATTTAACACAGGCACTAAATAGCTGGGCTTACAAATTCATCACATTCATCTACATGATGCTGTGTCATGTTAGTGGTAATTTTGCTAAAAATATGAAGTAAATTATTTATACAGCTCAATGTAAACAAATGTGGCACAAACCAATACAATGGCATCCACAGATACTAGGACAAAAGTAGGTAAATGGTTATAGGTATGTCAAGACACACACACACACACACACACAAAAGCATACTATTTTCCTGATTAGAGAGATCCATTATCAGAAAGTTGGGGAAATTTGAGAAACAATATCAGAAGGCAATAATAATTGCATCTAAACTAATAATTGCATCTAACACTGAAATATTAATAAAACAAAATTCTAAGCTCCATGTTCCCTTTACAAACCTACACATCACATGAACATTGGCTTGATGTAAAATTATCTCCATCTTTTCCAGTAGAAAACGTTATATACTTAAATCGGTTCTGCATATGAAAGGAATTTACCCTTTCAGCTAAGTCACGTTACTGAAATTATTATGCAATATCAATACTATGCAACTGAAAAAAAAAGAGTAAGCAACAAAACCACACAATTACTGGTTCTCTCTTACAACTATTTCATCAAAAAATAACAATTCAGTGATGACTCGATACCAAAATCAAAAGAACAAAAATAATTTCACCTGTATACTTTTCACACCAGCTCTGCAGAAGTATCTCTTGATCTCCAAATCAATTTCACAGTTTCCAACAAAACTAAAACAAAAAATAAAATATACATTTCATTTTTATGGACTAAACTGCAATACACTGTTAGTTCTGTTTTGCACTGTCATGACAATATATTTTGTATCTCAGTCTATACACAAAAAATACATGTTAAAACATTACAATATGTAACAAAGTCAAGATTGTTAAAAGAATTACATTCACTTCAAAACATCACCACTGCCATCAAAATCACTCAAATTAATACAGAGATATGTTATCATGTCCACAAGCATACATAAGAGAAAATACGCAAATAGCCTTACTTTTGGGAAATAATGGACACAGAATTCATACTCCATTTCAGGAAAGCTCTACATAGGTCTCATTGATAGTACATGTACCTAAATGCACTCTCATCTAATATAATCATGAGAAGCACTAGACAGAGATGGTTATTTTGCTAAAACTCAAAGTTGTCTGAAATATTCAGAGACTTGCAAAAAACTAAATTTAGAAATTTAATAAGCTGGGCATGCTGAGCTGGATGATCCACCAAGCAAGGTTTAAGCCAAGAACAGCTGAACCCTTTCTGAAGGGAGAAAGAGGGCAGGAAGCAAATTAGAAAATAATATATTAAAAACGATGCAAGTTTTTCCCTGAACAGTTCTTGCATCCCATTCTTGCAAGGTCAAGGGCTCGAAATTTTGCAGATGCTACCCTGTATCTCAGAGATAGATTTGTAGATGGTAAAAAAAGCCCCATCTATTTGCCCATGCTACAAAGCTAAAAGATTATTTGCACACAATTCAGACTCAGATGTTAGCAGCTGCTTTTTCTGAAGCTCCATGCAGGTCAAGCATGTAGCAGCAGAGTTGAGCAGATCTTTTCCAAGAACTGCTGCTGCTGTGAGCCACATTAAGTCTGAAAACAAACTAATTCTGAGACTCAATAAAGAATTTAGGAAGAAAGCTTGACACTCTGATTTAGCAAGGGAATTGGTCAATAAATATACAGAATGAGAGCTAAAAACAAAAACCAAAAGATTGAATACCAAGCTACAGCTAGGGAGAGACTGGCTGGACAAGGAGACTGGCTAAGAAAATATGGGTTATAATGAAAGGACAAACGAAATCTGAAGAGCTTTCTGAACAGACTGCCCAGTTAAAGAAAATGGAAGAAGGAACTAAGGGAGGAGATAAGGCAGCTTAAACAAAGCCAGACACTGCCGGGAGAGGGAGAAAATTTGTTTCCTCTACAGGACATACTGTTCCAGAATCTCCACTAGAGCCCAGGCTTCCTCACACTAGGTTCCTCAGACCTAGCCTGTACAGTGAAAAACTGCTCAGCCGTGTTTAGGAGTTTGATGGAATCTTATTACAGAAACATCTGGGAAATTATGAAGAAAACAGAGTTGCTCTCCTCATGGGGCCATTTTAGGATCAAGTCAAGATAAAATAAATTCTTCTCACAGTAAGAGCAGAACAGCAGGACTCCTGCCCCCTCCCCCCCGACAACTGATGGCCACAAGGTACTATCAAAAGAAAACGAACGTGAGAGTTGCTGCATTCAGGATATCCATTATTCAAATCATCTGTAGCCTCCCGTGCTCTGTGTGTGATGGTGCTGTCTATGGGATTTCAAGCAAATGCAAATCTTATCAATCCCTTAAACAGAAATAAACAATAGTACCGAGACATTCTTGTAAACGTCCAACACTGGAATTTATTTTGGACTATTCAAAAGATAACACTACGCAGAATCATTTTGGTACAATGACCAGTTTGGGGAACTGGAAGACAACAATATGACAGGGGTCTATGTGAAAGGAAGGTGACCATTGCTTTCCCTGGAAAGAATGTAGTGTGACTGTACCATTTAAAAATAGGTATATAATTTTTAATACACAATTTAAAACGATGTAATTTCTATTTTTACCTATCTAACTATATATAGAGATAGTAAATACATATATATAAATACACACACACACACATATATAATTGCATAACAACATGACACAGAGAAGCAAGGTCAATTAAAACCTGCAACTGAAACCTCAATCTTGGCACTTTATAGCATCAGAACTATTTGCGTTATGAAGACTGGGAAGCAATATGCTCGTTTGAAAATCCATAATAACATGATGACAAATCGAAGTAAAAATAGTAACAAACTGCATTTGAGGGTAATAAGTCAGCAACTTTTAACCTTATAATAAAGTTATATGTGGTTTTATCCCTTAAGATATTTGGCTGGGTCCATTAACAGTCAATGCTGTACAGAATTCCACTGTAACATAACATACAACTTGAAGGCTCATTTAGTAAGCAAATTCTATACATTCAGATCATAATATCTCAGAAATATTTATGACCTCTGTAATGTACAGATCACTGAGATAGATTACAGTTTAATGAGGACAGTCTTGTAAGAATATAACAGCTGTACTGAATCAAATGAGAAGCACAGTATACTATATGTGGTCATTGTAGCCCATAGAAGATACCCAGAAGAAAAACAAACAAAGAATAAGACAAACATATTTCCCAGATTACAATGATCCGTGATTGTGTACCTTGGACTATTTTCATTATTTTTTAGAAGGTCTTTAGAAGGTCTTTTGACCCCATTTTTACATCTGTCTTCTGCCAGTACAATGGTACTCCATTCAAGTATGCCACATAAAAAAAAAATATTTCCATGTGTTTAAATCTGCAGCCTAAAACTTTACTTTAGTGCCTCTATTTTTTGTGTCGTGAGAAGGTGAAAAAAAACTCAGTTGTATGCTATTAACAAGTATTTCCTCAATCTCTCAATCTTTTTTGGCTTTCTTTACTACAGTTAACATTTAATTTGACAGAGTTTATCTTGTTTTCTATTGATCCATAACCTTTTATTTTCCCCAAGTGTTTACTACCTTCATGCACTTTAGTAACTGTAAGATTTCTATTTACTAACAATTTATTTAGACTTTGTCTTCATTTGCTCAAGTAGTTAAAATCTTTCCCTTACACATCTTTGTCACCAGAAACTAGACTTTTAAATTTTAACATGAGTTTTGACAATTTTTTTTAACATAAAGCTCACAGTAAGTAAGAGAAATGTAAAGGGTTCCCTTTGCAAACGTGGTCCTGAAATTGAATCTTTAAATACATTTTCCAATGACTGCTTTGTGGATTAGCCAGTAAAGCTGCTTACAAGAGTAAAGTTCTTAACTGGATCCTGAGTGATGCATAGGACCTGTTTCAAAAGGTTCTGAAAAACACTCTGAAGCAATGATCATAACGCACTCAATATCCTTGCAGAAACAATAAAAACTAAACCAAAACACACTCCTTTTGCAATTAAACTTAAAAGCAAAAACCAAAAAAACCTCAAGGAAGATGCAAAAAATACTTGTGGAGACCCATTGAAGCTACTTAAATGTACTGTATGGAAGGTCCAAAGCAAATGCATATATCCTGTAACAAACAACTGACAGTAGAAAGGGCTAAAGGAAGCCACAATGGTGAAACATCAGGATAAAAGGAGATTATTAAAAGAATGAAGGTACTTAAAAAAAACCCAAAATATAAATAAAATAAAATCTTTCTTTCCCTCCACCCTGCTACACCACCCCACAGGGCTTGGCTTCGTACAGCTATTCTTACAAATGTTTAGAGAGATTGTTTTCCTTCTCAACTGTATTCAGGGAATGAAGGGTTTATAGAACGCTCCCAACTTTAAACTTAAATTAAAATTAGAACAAACTAATTTCACTGGAGATTAAAATCTACAGGGATAAATACTCCGAAGGACAGACGTTTCTCCAGCAGTAAGGCTGTTCTTTATAACCTTGCAAAACTGAACTAAAGTTGATTCCCTAAGAAATAGTTTAGGGTTGGTATCAGTACATAACTCTGTATCTGAATATGCCAAGAACATTTATTACAGAGACTCTTATTCTTCCTTCCTGTTATTACTGAAACAATCCCAGTGATGGACCTTTAGAGAACATACAAAAACAAAAACAAAACAAAACAAAAAAATCAAACAGTAACAATTGATACTGGGGTGCCATCTGTCTTAAACTTGCATCATCTGTCTTAAACTTGCATAAGAAAAAGCCTTTGAAAAAGAGCCCTTTCCCAATGAGAAGGTGTCAAGGACAAGTCTTAAATATGAAACAGGACTCCTTTTGATGGTGGTTTTGTCTGAGCCTTAATTGCTAGAAGCTATGATAGTCACTCCATAGCTCTCCTGTTTCCATTTTGTTCCTGGAAGCCTATGCCACTGGCGGTAGGGACAGGCTGTTGGGGTAAATGGGCACCTAGATGACTCAGCACTATTACTGTTATTTAAACCACTTCAAGGAATTTATTTCAGCCTTTTAGACTGGATTCTACTCCAGCTGCTATCACTTCTCTAAGTAGGTTGCAATGTAATGCAATGAGACATACGGGTAAAGATTTCTTTCAGGTCTAGGTAACAGGACATTATTCCTGAAATTTTTGTACAAACCTATCGTCCTTTTTACCTTTACCTGTCCCAACCTACTTCATGAAGATGAGCAGGAGAAAAAAAGAAAAAAGAAACACTAGATTTACCCTGTCCTCCTGTTGGAATAATTCTGCTTTAAAGGGAAGAAGTGGTCTTGGAACACTTGGCCCCTCAAATAGGGGCAAAAATAGCTTCTCAAAACCAATTTCTTTGCACTGTGTCCATAGTGGTCAGACAAGTCTGTTTTCCTGAGGGATTAAGTCTGAGGGATTAAGTCCTGAGGGATTAAGTCTGAAGACATGAGGCTGTTCCCACAGCTGCTATCCAAAGTGGCAACAAAGAGAAAACTGAAGAAAATTTATCCATTAGGGCTAACAGCATCCATCCAGGGAAACAAGTTCTCAAGATACAATCCTGCTGTATTTTGTCCAGCAACACCAATCCCTGGTTTGGAAAGCTGTCTTTTTCCTACAGAAATAAAGTGATTCAATTTAATAAAGACTGGGCCCTGCTCACAGATGCAGCCCTCATCCCCCTCTGAAACAGAGGAAAGGATGCAGCAGCATTTTCTCTTATCACTCTGGGGCCCAGCTTTGACAAAGCAGCACAGTCTTCAACATAGCTGAGATTTAGATAAATAATTCAAAATTAAGAATAACCAAGTTCAAACTTTAGAAGTGACTCTGAAAAAGAAAAGCTGAGAGGCCTGATTACCCTTCTGGTTACTGCCAGGGAAGCAGCAAGAAACCCAGAAGACTGGTCTTTGCTGGATCATCAGTGACTGACAAATCTGATCTTTCCACAAGCTACAAACAGGCAAAAGCAGTCACTGAAACACATATCTATGATGGTCAAATATAAAAACATTGCTGGGTTTACTGACTGAACTTTCAAAAAACTCTGTAACTGCAGATTGTGTTGAGGAAATGTTGGGTAGATCTATTTATAAACCTATATAAAAGGGGTCATGATGAAAGGGCAAAGAAACCTGAAGCAGCCGGAGCACAGCGGCTCTGGCGTTATATAATACATAGATTTACTTCGGTTAGTGGTAAGAGCACAAATACTTTGGTAGCTATCATTCTCTTTTTCTAACATGGTGTTAATAAAAAAATCTAAATAACTGAGAAAAGTAAAAATACCCAAACCTCTTATATCCTAAATTTTAGACTAGACTAAACTTCATGGCAAAGTTTTAATACATTAGAAAAAAAATTCAAAGATAGTGCTTTAGCTTTGGAAAGTATTTTTTTATTAACCAACATTACTTTAATGATGCAGTCACACTGAGTTGATATGCTATTTCCCTCAGACAAATGCTATTTACAGCATGCAGTTCCTTCCTCCATTCATACACAATTAGAACTAACTACATTTGCGTGATGAAGCAATTCTTCTCCTTTCAGGCCAACCTAACTGCCGAATCAAGCAAAGCACATATTATAAAGCATGGGCACCATCATAATATGATAATAAAGTTTACCTGATTTGAAGATCCAAAATGATCTGCCTTTTGTCCACATTTTCAGTGTACACTTTTACACCATTTATCCGCAGAGGCTGAAACAATGAAGCAAGTAAAAGTTGGATCCTTCTACTGAACTATACCATATTAAACTCTTGACTTCAAAACAAAGGTGAATATACGCACATTCATGCCTGAAGTTAAGAATTTACTATAAGTGTTATTAAAAGGTGTGAAGCAAAGCTATCAATTTAGCTCAAAACTTTATTTCAAGGGTAAAAATTACCTTGCTAGGATCCACTTAACCACAACACTTCTGGCAATTACCCTGGGTGTACACCACTAGATTTCAAGATTTACCAAAGATTTAATATCAAGCTTTCCCTCTCCCACCAATAAACATCTCATTTCTCTGTACTAGTATATGTCTAACTCCCAGACAAAGCATTCTTTTCTGTGCAACTAAAAAAACAAGCTAAATTTAATTCACAAAAATGTAGTTGCCTTAAATGGAATTTAGTCGGAATGGATGGAAAATAATCCATACTCCCCACAAAAAGTTGTGTCAACGACCGTGTGCTCTCTCTCTAAACCCCTGTGCTCACGCTGTCCCTCCCTCTCTCTCTCATACATAAACAACACATATCAATCAAACATTCCCAACATTCAAACATTCATCAGATACTAGGTGGGAGAGGATGACCAATGACCTTACTATGCACCACCTCCTGTCACATTTTGAGTTTTTACTTTCTGGAAAAATTGCCATATTTCTATTTACACCTTTTTAGTAATGCAAGTAAAATGGAAATCTCACTGCTGTCAAGATTCCCACTGTGTTTGGGGCTGTGCAGCTCACAGGATGCAACTCAATCGAGGTTGCAATATAAAGAATAGCTGTTTCTCATGTCTGAGATAACTCAGTCCAGCTGCAGAAGCATACAGAGGTGTGGAAGCTAACTTAAACCCTACTTAAAATAAGTATGGCTTAAAAGGAATGCTGTTCTACAGTCTGTAATACAGGTGTATCTCGGGCAGGACAGAGCCTCTGTGTAAAAGGATTTACAACTTTTAAAACAAAACAAAAAAACACCACACAAAAGGTGCAGTAAAGTATAATGAACTGTAATATACATGAAATAGAGTCACAAAGAGAGAAAAATAATTCACCACCACCACACCTGAAACTTAACTTCCGTTTTCTTAACATTTGGGGGGGGG